AATTTACAATCTAATAATAGCTGTTTTCAAATAAATCCTTGCAAGATTCCTAACAGTAGATCAACAAATCAGTTCACAAGCATAGAGTAATTCCCCTCACTTTGGTTCATTTGCTGTCCAAAAAAACCAACAAACTAATTTTTTTATTACATATGGCATTTTATTTTTACTTATTTCTTAATTAATTCTAGTTTTTTGCAGTTTTTGTTGTTTTATATGTTCCCTCCAGTCATCATCCTACCCCCTAAATTTCTGAAATATCTTTTTCCAGGCAAGTATTCTGGACTTTCAAGGACATTGTACAGAGCCTTCTGGCATGCAGAAATTGCTGAGTGATTATTATCAAATAATTGGCCAAAGAAAGCTTCTTGTGGTGAGTCACTTTACAGTTTAGGCTTACCAACATGGATAATTCCCTACCAACCCCCCTAAAATATCTGTCTTCCTTGCAGTTTGAGAAGTCTTTCCACAGTCCACCCTGAGGTGCCAGGTGAGACGGGCACCTGTGCCTGTATCACCTGGAGACCTGTCTTAGTAACTGCCTGACTGCAGGGAGAAGTGTCACTCCCAGGTCACTCAAGCTGAAAGATCAACCAGGACAGCAAACATGGAATCCTTAAACTTACTTGTAGGTATTCTCCATAGATAAGCCCACCTTTGCTGGCTTTATTTATTCCTTCTTGAGATTTGTCATCATTGTCATCTTCCAAAGACAGCTTGTTAAAATTAAATCTAAGAAGAAAATAAAGTAAATATATAAAGTATTTAATTAAAGAATTATTAATATACCTGCCTTTTTACTAATAGATGCATCTACAATTCAAACAGTGTTTTATGTTGATAAACAGAACCAGTAAAGCAGGCTTTTGATAAAAACTGAAATTCCTCTTGTCCCAGTAGCAGCTGGTAGCATCACATTTAGTTCATCCAATAACAAGTACTCAGATGAGCCCTTGTATGATCTCTTTTATTTAGCAATAGCTACAGCTGTCTATTTGTTGATAGCAAGTAAATCCTCTCTGAGATTTCATATTTTGCACTAACACTTTATCATTTAATTGAATTTATAAAGCAAAACACAGAGAAGAAGGACTCACAGGTAATTCTTCCCCGCAAAGGGGCACTGGCTCATGATTTCCAGATCCAAACTCGCTGAGCTGCACACTGGGGAAAATACCCTGTTAGTGTTCCCAAACCTGCTGCAGCTCCCTTATATGTAGCCTTATCTCACTGCCAAGGCCAGCCCCCAAATTCCCCTCCTTAGCCCTCAGCCCATCCCCACTATTCAATAATTTCAGAAACTATCACA